ATCGCAACCACAGCCCGACTCCGCGCACACACCGAACGGCGGGAAAATGACGGCCAAAACTACTTTACAGCACTCGCCTCCCATTCCGACACTTTTGATTTATAATATACTAAACACTTCAACAATTACTATCCAAATAACGCCTCAATATTAGTCTCATTACTTTTTTACTTTCTTTGTTCTCAAATACCACTTGTTTTGCAGCAATATTTTGATTGCAATAAATCCTTGAAATCAACGTTAGATAAGAATTCACCATAACATAGACGTCACTCCATACCAATTTTGCAAACATAGTTCAAGTTAAAGTACCGGTATATGTCCTACTGTCTAATGCTTGTAATTAAATATTCCACACGAATTGTCAAAATAATTCGTCACATTCAGCAATGTAATGGCAAATATTTTAGTTTACATTTTTATGTTAAATGACATTTAGAACATATTGCTTAATCAAATTTCATAACATACAAAATAATAAATTATTAATAATATTATAATTTGTCAATGTTTGTTATCTTAGATATCATAGTACACCCTCTATATAAGAAACGGGAAGTTGCAAGATTAAAATATTTTGTTGAGATTAAAATGTTTCTATAAAGAGGCTGTGTAAACATTAGAAGTATAGGAAAATAATGCTAAACTTGGTTTAAAATTGTTTCGTATTGAGAGGTATTATTCCATAAAGTTTATAAAGATTTTTTATAAAGGAATTGCACTGTATATGGTACATAAATTATAACATAATTATTACACTATATGTAAATGTTATAATTATTAATTGTTAATTAATAATTGAGCTTGTTTACCTGAATTCTCAAGATTAATATAAAACTAAAAGATCTATAAGTCTATAGATCTATAGAATAATTTATAATTAATATGAAATATCTAGATATAAGATTATACAAGTAGGAATGTAAATTTTTGCTAACTTTAATATTAATCAATACATTTGTTATCAATATTTGAATGTTTGATAAGTTTAGTATATTTAATTTATAATTAATATGAAATATCTAGATATAAGATTATACAAGTAGGAATGTAAATTTTTGCTAACTTTAATATTAATCAATACATTTGTTATCAATATTTGAATGTTTGATAAGTTTAGTATATTTGTTAACAAGAAGTATTATACAAGTAAATAGTAACACACAAATTGTCAAATATATCAATTCAAATATAATTACAATAAATGAAAATTTTTCAATCATTAAACCAATGATATAAGGATTGCTTAAATTAAAGACACCGGCCATTAATGCCACACAAGTGCCCATAGGATTAGTAATATTGATATATTTTTCAAAATAAGCAAACATAGCGGGGAAAAGCGCTGATAAGCCTATTCCCAGACATACACATGTAATCCACATTACAGGTAGATTATTGCGACCCCATATACTCAACACAATAAGAGATAGATATAATATTGCGAAATGAACGACAATCATGTGTTGGGGTTTTAATTTGATTGCCGTAAACACACTGATAGCTCGGCCTATTGTATAGGCCAACGACACAGAGGACATAATTTCTGCCGCACTTTTGGCCGATAGCTTAATATCTGTGTACTGGAGAAAAGTGGCCCCGAAATCAAATAATGTAAACTCAATGAGAGTGTACGCCGACAGAAGTGCTGCGAATAAAATGATAACCAAACGTCGGGGACTTTCTTGACGATCAAATAACTTTAATTCTTCTCCCGTTATGTTTTTGGTGTCTTTAGTCATCAATTCTTCCATATTATAAGGTTTTGTTAAATACATTAGTATGAGAGCAATGGGCGCTACAATTAGATTTACAATAATATACGTGTATATTAGAATATTACGGTAATAATACATAGTAATGTACAGTGTATTAGATAATAAAAGCTTATAATTAAAATTATTACATAAAATATGAACTAAAAGATTCAGAATCAGAGCATATACTGTAATTGCATAAACTGTATACTAAAATCTTAACATTAATACTGTACTTTAATTTATTCAAAATACAATATTAAGCAATTAGAAATTAAAATAAATGAATGACTTACATATGATTTGAATACAACCAATAATAAGAAAAGGTTGCCAAAGATATCCTATTCTATCAGTGTTACGATCGTTGTCTATCATATCAGTCGTATTGTTGGACTTATTGATTGATTCATATACTGATGTGTTGAACAATGCATGTGTTTGTGGGACTATTTGCTGTCCATCTCCTCTGAGATATGGCCTGAGTATAAGCGGTGATACAATTGTTCCAAAACCGTAACCAAATTGAATAAACTGCAGAACAGATGCACTTTTATTCCTCCACATCTCTATTATCCACACATTAATAGTACAGTTCCAGACACCACCACAAACACCACAAATCCAAAAACATGCATACAGTATATATATATTGCCAGTGATGGGCATCATTGAACATGATATACTGGTTAACACAAACAATGTTGAAATGGTCAATTGTCGGTTTAGATAGTTATATAATAAACCGGCTGTTATTTGAGATAAAAATTGCTATAACTGAATAAAACGTAAATTAAAGTATGATGATAAATTTACTTACACAAAGTGCCCATCATATATCCCACAAATGCAAAAGTCATGCAGAGTGTTATGGATTCCACGGAAACATTAAGAATATATTTGAAGTCAAGCATTACGGGTCCAAATATAGCCGATGATAGACCCTAATCAGGTGATACATATTTATATACAGTGGGACTCAGCATAAATGTAACGAATTGTACTGTAAATTATATGAAAATTATAAGACTTATGACAGTAAAAACACGTTCAAACTGTATGTTATATATTCAACTTTAAGTGATGTGAGTTTTG